AATGACTATAGTAGAGTATGGAAAGAGAAATGTATTTTGAGGAAAAGGTGATAATTTAAGATTACAGAATTTTGGTCAGAGAATTAGCTAGAAATGCTCTTGAAGAGTTCTTTCCACACCCTCTTTTTATAGGCAGGAACACAAATTTAGATGTTTTAAGTTACACAGACCTAGTTACAATAGAGCCAAGACTAGAACCAGTCTTTTGATTTACCTAAAATATTAATACTGCCTTTTAAAAAATATGAGATTAACAATGAAATCCAGGTGAAAATACTTTTTTATTTTCACTGCCACTTGGCACAGGGTTCCTGAGCTCTTAGGATCCCGAAGAAGTGCAGTCTATGGCAGATTGGAGGAGAAATGGTGCTCTCTCCAGCTCTATAAGCACTTTGTCCCCTGGGCCCTGCTTGTGCCTTGAGTGCCCCAATGAGTGACTTTCATGAGAAAATGTTCTCCAGATTCTCACTGCATAATCTCCCTCATCAGGGTGGATCTAAACCAGTGCCTTAGGCTCTGTGAGGGGCAGATGAACTGTTTCACTGATTTTCATGGTCCCTGCCTGTTTTCTCCCCATTTTCCTCTCTAGAGCCTTATAGGTACTACCACTCTTCAGAGAAAAAAACACTCTCCATGCTCATCTCCTCAGTCAGAAAGATGTCCAGGAACATAACTAGCCAACTAGTTCCCCTCCAAAACCTGACCCTGACACAGACCATGTCTTGTTTAACTTTGTATCCTGAGTGCCAGCTCAGTGCTTGCCACACAAAAAAAAGACTTTTACTTGTTGAATTAATAAATCAATGTTGTTAAATTAATGAATTTAATCTATTTCATTATTGAATTAAGGAATCAATGATGAATTAATGAATCAATGTTGTGAAAGGGGGATTTACATATAATCTAGGGAGATGAGACAGAACAGATGAAAATACTCTTAATGCTTAGGGGAGAGGTAAGGACTTACAAAGTGGATTTGAAATTTCTCAGCTTTGAGATAATCATTTAGTTTCTTCTTTACAATAGTGTAGCTCTCATTTTGTAATAGGAAGCAGTGATAAAACAGGGTCCAATAAGGAAAAATTTCACTTTATAATCTATAAGCTTTTTTTTTTTTGTAAATCAGTGCTTTACAAAATGTCCATAAAATTAGACCATTTAAATGATTTGTTCAACATTTCAAGTTGATTATCTATACCTGTAGCTATAAAACACCACTGTTCTTTAACTGTAATGTTGGAATGAACCTACCGTAATAATGTAATTGTAAATCAGGGGCTCAAACTTCCAACACAGGCCAGTCAGCTTGTGCCAACATATGACTGACTGATTTAGCCTGCACAATTTAAAAAAAACTTTTGTATTTGAATTACTTTAGTGTGCTTTTATTTTCCAGTTGCTCAGAGGCTCTACCACACCCTACCGTCATTACACCTATTTCTTTCAATTTGTTGAGTTTTCAGTCTCACCTTTGAAGACATTTGAGTTTAAAACTCCCCTTCTACACAGCTCTCTGCTCCTAGTCATTGTATATGTCCAACTATTTCTGGGTCCAAATATATGTATGTTATCCAAATATATATCTAAAACATTGTCCAAAACTATATGTCTGGATCAGTTCATGTAGGCAAAAAAATATTTCTTAGAACTGTTCTAGTTCCACATATGTCAAACCCTACATTCATATATGAAAGCAGTTCTGTTTTCTTGGGTAGTAAGAGGCAAGAGAATATGTAATCAACAATCATCTGATATAATATGCATATTTTATCATGTTACATAAAATGGTTTGCATTTCTCCACAGGTAACCTTTGATGTAGCTTGGTCTCCAAAGTGCATAGACAGAAGGTGCTATAATTATACTGGAATTGCAGATGCTTGTGACTTTCTCTTTGTGATGTCTTATGATGAACAAAGTCAGATCTGGTCAGAATGTATTGCAGCAGCCAATGCTCCCTATAATCAGACAGTAACTGGTAAGATACACCAAATAATCATTTATTGCTATCATTAATTCCATAACCTCAAACACTAAGACATATTTTAGTATTTCTAAGTCATTTGTATACCTTTTCCATTGTAAAGCTTTCTTGAAACATGAAAAACACTTAATTTGGAGAGCTTTAAAGGTGACAAAAAGTTTTAAAGTTTTCATATTTGCAGGATAAGTATGTTATTTATTAACCATCTATTACACATGAGATGAAGGCTGTTATCTTGATTGCACAGCTATTAAGTATTATATAGTTGAAATTAAAGCAGGTGTTTTAACTTCACTTTAACATACTTCTCTCAGAATTACATGAATGAGATATTTTTTAATCTAGAACTTGACAAGATATTTTTTGTTGAAATAACCAATGTCAAATAATTTAACAGCAAGGATAGTTATGATGTGGGTACCCTCTATATATGATTGATAGGACTGGCTTTATCTTACTTGACATTTACTATTAGTACACATGCTGTATTACAAATTTCATGCATACCTAGGAGATCATGTAGGTTTGGTTCTAGACCACAGCAATAAAGCTAGTATCGCAATAAAGCAAGTCATAATCATTTTGCTGGTGGAGAGTCTGTCATCAATTTGCAAAGCAAGCAAATCTCTGAAGTGCAGTAAGGAGAGTATGCCTGTACAGCATCACACTTAAGAGCACTTCTGATCTGTCATTCATATGATGTGGCCTTTGCAGTATCCTTTCCAAAGTTTGGATTGGTTTGTATCCCATCAGTCAACTGAATTAAAGATTGCTTGCTGTTTTATGGACTCAAGTGAATTTTTCTTAGGTAGTTGGCACTGATTTAATTGTTGATTGGTTTTCATATAGAGGTAAAACCTTAGAACCTGGCCTCATTTTATTATGTCCTAGTTGTTTGGACAGAATAGTCTGATCACAGCACATAATATTAAAAATTTGGCAAATAATTTGTTACAATTTAAAAGTAATTATTTAATCTAGTGTTCCAAAACTGTTTCATGGAAGAGATAATAATTGTGTTCTATCAATAAAAGTTTCATAATCAAATATGTTTGGGAATGATGCATACCCCACCCCTTTCTTGGATATTGAATGGTACACAATAACTTTAAAGGCTCTGAAAGGTACCAAATTTGCTTAATATTGGAGCTTCTCTTGGTGGAAAACATATTTTGCAACATTGGACAGAAAGGGACTGATAATACTAATAATTTCATTTTTCTTTTTGTTTCTATAGTCACAGATTATCTAATACAGAGTAAGAGGGGGACATTTCTCATCCCCAGCTGTAATTCATATTTTTAGGATATTTGTAAAACATGGAACACTTGTGCTTTCTATAAGAAATTCTGCAACCACCCCAGACAGAAAGTTTAAGATTTATAGAACTTTATCCAAACTTTAGTATCTAGAATATCAAATATACACATTAGCAATTAATAGACACAATCAGCATGCTTTCCTGAAATGTGTCATTCTTTCTAGAATTAAATTTTGTAATTTTTTGTACCAATTTGATTTTAATTGTTTTGCATATTTTTATTACTTAAAAGAAAAGGATTAAAAAGTGACTTAGAAGAGGGGGGGCAGATGCCAGGTGGAGGGGTCAATGGGGGAAAAAGGAGACATCTATAATACTTTCAACAATAAAGATACATTTTTTTAAAAAGTGGTTTAGAATTTATAGTTCTTAAGGAATGACTTTCAGAATATCAGAGAAACACTTAGTATTTTGCATAAATGCACCTGTTTTAAAAGGGTAAAGCTGCATAGCTTGTACAAACATATTAGTAGGTGAAGAGAAAAAATATGCTTTTTCTGTCCCTATTTGATTAGCATATGACGACTACATCAAGATGGGCATTAACCCTAAGAAACTTGTAATGGGCATTCCCTGGTATGGTTATGATTATACCTGCCTGTCTCTATCAGAGGTAAGAACAACTCACTTCTTATGTAATTTTTTTTTTCTTTTGTATATTTTTAGACCTTGTTTTCATATATATATATTTATAAATTATTCTACATATAGAATATGTAAACTTTAAAATTCCTGAAATATATTTTGAGACTAAAAGGGAGAGTTTATTTTTAAGTATTCAATCCCATGAAAGTGTCTGAATGTTCTATATTTTCATTTAGTAATGAAATTTAATATTAATACTGTGTAGTCAGGATATCTATTTATAGTATATATTTTTCTAATAAATAGTTTTTGATATATTTTCTGATTTTACTCTTTGCATATGCTTAATTTATAATCTATAACATGAACATTCTTGCATTTCTAGGATCATGTTTGTACCATTAACGAAGTCCCTTTCCGGGGAGCTCCTTGTAGTGATGCTGCAGGATGTCAGGTGCCCTATAAAAAAATTATGAAGCAAGTAAATAGTTCTATTTCTGGAATCCTGTGGGATGAAAATCAGAAGTCTCCATATTATAACTATAAAGTAAGATTTTTCACAGGTTATGAACATTTATTTCTATTAGTTTTCATAATTGCATATTTTCACAATTACATATTTGATATGGAGAATTTCTATCAGTTTTCTTTTAGGGTACAGCATACGGACTGCTGTTTGCAATAGTAAATTTGTCTTTGAATCTGTGTAATCAGGAACTTGACTTCCCTGGTGAGCAATTTCAGTGATGGTCATAATGGAACTGCACTGCATGGGCCACTTGTCATTGTAGGTGGTGTAATAAAAACATGCCTATCACAAACAGGATTTCCTTAATAGTTGATAAATATGTATTAAGACTGTGGCTTCTAATAAGCTTTGGGCCAATACAAGTTGCTAGCTCTGAAAGCCTCCATTTCAAAGTAGATAAAGACTTATGCGGGAAGGGAAGGAATGAGGCTGAGAAGAAGAGTTGCACCATCATGGACTTTACAGTAGAAAATGGCATCATTTCAAATTCATTTCACAATTCAGTGAAACTATGGGATATTAGACCAATGGGAAAAAAACAATGTTAAAATCAGAGACTAAAAATATTACAGAGACTTGAAGAAACGGAGTGAATGATTAGCAATTCTGTCAGTTAGTGTTTGAAAAATAGGAATTGCCATACCAAAGAGGCAAAGAAAAGTTATATTTTTCATAATTTATCTTTAGCATAATAACTTTACACACCTCAAAAATTTAAGTACACACTATCTTTGAATTCACGTTGGATTGTTACTGTAAAAGGATCCCTAAAAAGATATGATTTAATTCCAATAAGAATATCTATTTTTAACTAATGGTCTGGTACTCTTTTGTAAAAAATGATTGCAAACATACATATTTATTAAATTAAAATGGATTCACGTCTATACATGCCTGTTTATCAATTATATAGAAAGATTTACTGTAGAATTTTCTAAACTTTAGAATCTAGTATACACACCTAGTAATTAAACTAGGGCATACTATAACATTGCCTTTGCCACACAGTATTTATAGAACTCTGTTCTGGGAACTGTTAATATTACACTTACACACACACACACACACACACACACCATGGCCAAATATAACATTGCCTTTGCCACACAGTATTTATAGAACTCTGTTCTGGGAACTGTTAATATTACACACACACACACACACACACACACACACACCATGGCCAAATATAACATTGCCTTTGCCACACAGTATTTATAGAACTCTGTTCTGGGAACTGTTAATATTACACACACACACACACACACACACACACACACCATGGCCAAATATATCTGGAAAACAATGCATACTTTACGTCCGTCTTGCAGATTTAAAATGTACATCATGTAAAGGATTTGAGAAGTGCCACAGTACATAAGCCATTTAATTGCTTAACATAGAACCCTGTTTCCCAGCACTCTGAGGAATGTTAGGGGAAGAGTGCTTCATGAATACGTCCTGTAAAGACTGTATGTAACCACTTATACATAATTTAGAAATACGTAAGGTAGAATAATAATGGACATTGTGACATAGTGTTTTTGAATCCCTGTCTTATGTTTTCCTTAATGAATAAGAAGACACCTTCTCTAAGGTTTTAGAATTCAGGAAATGTTTTGATGAGCCTTGAAGGCCACTCACTCCATGGCACTTTTACACAACAATCCAGTTACACCTCTTTTGTTCCTTTTTATTCACTGTAAAACTGGCAGCAACCAAAATCACGTTTTCTGGTGTGACTTATGAGGATCATTCTGTCTTCCTATGCTGTCTCAGCAATAGCAGCTTCATCATGGTACTTGATATTCTTGAAGGCATTTATGCCGTAACCATGCATATATCAATCTTACATATACTCAGTTTTCCATCCTTTGATCCTTCACTATTTCGAGGCATTTGAAATTTCAAAAGGGCTCAGACTACTAGCCAGAATGATGATAAATTCAAAGGTATATGTATTGGGGTTAGCTCCTAAATCTTCAAAAATAAATATTTCTATATTTACATACAGGTTCTTCAAGTTGCCTTTTGATGGTGAATCACAATTATTACCACAGCATGCATGGCTTTTACCAGTTCTAAATATGTGAAAGAACAGAATATAAGATATAGTATAAAATAGGCTTGTATGTAATGAGTCTATTATACTTAAATACGCCATAGCTTATTTACCAAGTGACTACTGTCCTTCAAAGTAGCCGTTTTAGAAGACTATTCTAATTCTAGTGGTGCTACCATAAAATAAAATGTTACTGGCATTAGTCGAGAACTGCCTTTAAAAATTTTCCCAGATGTATACAAAAATCAGTAAATTATTTTTAACCACAGGCCATTCTTACCTCCTATTTTTCCCCTTCTACCTTTTTGCCTAGACCTGCTCCTTTCCTCTTTCCTTTATCCAATAGATGATATACCTTCTAAGAGAGACTGTTAGTACTAGATAGAGGCTGATGCTATTGCGGAGAAGGACTTTACAGGGTAGGTGAGCATAAGACCATTTTCTAGTTTATGGTTTTCATCAGCTGAGTGCATAAGGCAGCCACGGCCTGTATGCGTTAAGTCCAGACCTGACAGGCTCTTTAGATCAATTCTGTAAGACCTAGAGAAGGAGTTACTTTCCTTGTCTATTGCCATTACCTTTGATTTGACTGATTCATCATAAACAAAAGCATCTGTTGAGCTCCTAACGAGGCACATTTCTAGGAACTGTAGGGAATACAAAAAAGTATATAGCTGGTATATCAGAGAATCACAGCAGTGATCCTCCTTATTAGCCTTGGCTGCATAATTACCTAATGGAAATAGAACACGAAACAAATATCACAGCACTAGCCTGGGAAGTTTTGATTCAATAGGTTTCATTTGGTATGAGTCCCAGGAATCCGTACTTTTAAAAGCTCCACAAGTGACTCAAATATACATCGTGGTTGATAATCATCAGATCAGGGCAAAGAAGGAATCTTAGGGCATGAGTAGGACCTTAAATGGAAGATATTGGGAGGCTTATTTATGTAATCTCTGCTGTTGTAAAAATTCCACAAGCACCCAGCCAGCATTGCTCAGTGGTCGAGTGTCAACCCATGAACCAGATCGGGGTTCAATTCCCAGTCAGAGCTCATGCCTGGGTTGCAGGTTGGATCCCTAGTAGGGAGCATGCAGGATGACTCTCTCATGACTGATGTTTCTCTCTCTCTCCCTCTCTTCCTTCCTCTCTCTGAAATCAATTTTTAAAAATGCCATAAGCAATATCTACAAAGTACCACATACAGAGCCATGGAATCATAGAGTGGGAAAGTGTTGTGTCCTTAAATTTTTATTATTTCATTGTATCTTTTTTGAATCCTTGAAATTAAGAAATGCTTTCCCTCTTATTGTAATGAATACTTAAAATATCCATTTTCATTTATTTGTATAGGATCCTGCTGGTAGTTTTCATCAAGTGTGGTATGATAACCCGAAGAGCATTTCTTTAAAGGCAGAATATATACAAATCCGTGGCTTACGGGGCATTGGCATGTGGAATGCAAACTGTCTTGATTACTCTGTAGAGCCTGTAGCCAAACAGCAAACTGAAGAAATGTGGGAAGCCTTAAAACCAAAGCTGTGACAGACATGAACACCTTTTGTCAAACTATTAAGATTTTGAAAATGATCTGTAAAAATAGATCTAGTTTCTTGAAGATAAAAAATTTATACATTTTTGTCATCTGGCTATATGTTTTACTTATTAGTATAAAAACAGAGAATAAAGAGATGCTTTGTTTGAATGTGAAAGATACATATATTAACTTCAGTGTCCAGAAACATAAAGGTAAGAAACAAGTCAACTTACTATATTAAATATTCCTCTATGTTTTAATACTATAATTAGGAACAACTGCTTTTAGAATTTCATGCTAATTTCTCACCATACATGCTTACAAATAAATGCTGATTTTTAAATATATATAATTTGAAGTGGAAATGTTTGCTTAGAAGAGATTTTTAAAAACCTAGTCCTTGAAAAGCATTGTATTTTTATTTTATTTTTTTCAATAAATCTAAACTGAAGTCCTGCAATTCAGTCTCCTGTTTAGGTTCATCAAACTGCTGGAAATAATTTTCATGCTCCTTAACTCCATATAATACTCATATTCTCTGAGGCATATGAATTAAACTCAACCATCCACAGGAAAAAATAAAGGATTAAAATACTCAAAAAATTCAAGAAGATAATTTAGAAATATTTTTCATTAATAGGTTAGACCTACCTATTGTTTTCCAACTAAATTTTTTACTGTGGTTATATCTGATATTTTACAATAGAAAAACTTGCTGTTGAACCTGATTGTATCCATTGTCATTTACCCTTCCAATTATTAAAATTCCTTCACTATGAACATCTATACTTTATTTTTGGCTAGTTTTCATGGTTAAATTTTTCTTTATCTGCATTTTACTTTTAATTATCTAGACATTTTCTCAAGTAGTTTATCTTTCTAAAAGAGACATTTTGTGCAAAGAACCTTTCTAAATGTATAAAGGTCTCTGTTCTTCTTCTCAAGGCAATTAAGAACACTGTGTTGCACTTATATTAGTTCCTATAAATACTTAGATTAAAAGTCTGCATCCTTAAACTCTGGGCTTACATATATCCTGCATTCCCTGTACATTTTTCCCCTCTGAATTGAAATAAATGATGATTCAACCACTTGTTATATGAATATTCCATTTCCTATTTACACAATTATTACAGCAGAGTAAGACCAACCATTTTCCATATAATATGCTGAATTTCTAATATGTTTATATTTCTAAAACAAATTACTAAAACAATTTAAATTCTTAGACACTAAGCTCAGTCATAGCTCTGAGTGCAAGTTCAATATTCCTATTCTTTTATATTTCCAGATTGCTTTTAATTAAAGTACAACAAATAAATTAAACAGTATCTATTTACATGCAAATTCAAGGTATCCCCCCAAAACAAATACACACTTTAACAGCCGATAGCTCAATTTTGAAAATGAAATGTATTTTAATAAACACTGCCTTTATAATTATTCAAAGTGTATGTACAAATTTGGGGGGGATACCTTATATATTTATATTTACTGAACTATGATTTTTAAATTATATTTTATAGTCATATTAGGTATTAAATTTTAAAACTATTTAAAAATTATAAAATATAGTCAAATAATATGCAATAGATTTGAAACCATCAAAAATAACCAAATAGACACCATTTTGCTTCTATACATCTAACATTTCCTGAAATCCTTTGTAATACCAAAGGATTTGGTGAAAAATATAAACCTTATTACTTACATAAAACACTGCCAAGGAGAACAAAGGTTAAACAAATCTGATCAAATAAATATTTAATATTTTTGACAAAAGTTTTAAATTAACATACCTAACTAAGGCTGTACAGATGTATTTTATTCTGTGTCAGCTCAGCTTTCAGTGTGCATACATCTGAAATTGCTTGTTTTCTCACCTATAAAACAAATTATCTTTCAAAAATGAACTTCATTTTACCCATTTAAAATTACATAATGATCATCTAAATAGAGGTTTTTTATAACTGTCTTCTTTCATTTCCCTTTTAATGCCTTCACTTCTGCTGGATTACTACGTTAAATATACAGTTCAAAAGTCCTGTTGAACAAGCATGCTTATTTACTGCTAGATAAGCTATCAAATAATTTCATGTATTAGTATATAATCATAATAAAATGAACTATTCTAAAAAACTGAAGAGAAAAATATTTTTATCTTTTGCTGGATCTTCAAAATCTGTTCTCAAGTGAAAAGAAATAGTAAAAAACAATAACAACATAATTACAAAAAAGCCTTGATTCCCAACCCTGAGAAACTGAACAGGTACTTAAATAAAAGTGTTATTCTGTGGCAAGCACTCTTCTAAATGGATTAACCTCTTTGATTCTATAAAAAATTTTATTGAGGCAGATACTTATCTGCATTTTACAGCTGAGCCAACTGAGATGCCTAAAAGTTAAGTAACTCACTCCAGGTATAAAACTAATAAGTGACACAGCCAGGATTCAAACTCAAATCATCTGGTGCCACAGCCCTTACTATTCCACGTATTGTTTGTGGACTGAAGCGTTCACATCCCTGGTTGCTTCTTAGGAACGAAGAATCACAGGCTTCACTCCAGACCTATTAAGTCAGATCCAAGTGATCTCACACTAAACTTTGAGAAGCACTGCTTGTTCTATACTAACTTGACTATGGTTGCAACAGACTCAGGCTAGGTTTTCTGCCCTTTAGTTCTGAATTCTATAGGTAAGTTTGAGGTTAATTATTCAGAAATCAATAATAAATAATAATGATGTCTACTATGTGCCATCAAGCATTATGGTTAAATGGAGGACCTCCTGCCCCAAATCTGTAAGCTGAAAATTTGGTTCTCTTTTCCTATTAGTCTTTCCTGTTTTCTGTACTAGTAATTCTGATATGGGTTAAAATAATTTATAAGTGATATAGGGTTAAAATATACAAAGATGATATGATCTAATGTGCATGCTTCCCAAAAGAAAAGAGCATTGAGCCCAGCTGGTGTGGTCAGTGGTTTAGTGTCGATCCATGAACCAAGAGGTCACTGGTTTGATTCCCGGTTGGGGTACATGCACTGGTTTTGGGCTAGCTCCTCAGTAGGGGGTATGCAGAAGGCAGCTGATTGATGTTTCTCTCTCATCAATGTTTACATCTCTCTATCCCTCTCCCTTCCTCTCTAAAATCAATAAAAACATATTTTTTAAAAAGAAAGAAAAGAGCATTGAGACTCATGATTGAAGGCTCTGAAGGCATTTCTATTACTCTCTTTTACCTACCCAACTATCCTTAAGTGTGAAAGTTTCCACACTGGCTTTCTCTCATTTTTTTTGAATACACAGAGTTTTCATTCATTGAACAAATTGTGTTTTTTTGTGTGTATACATGCTGTATAAGAATGCTAAATATTGATATTTTATTAAAAATGGTCCTTTGCCCTTTTCCTTTTCTATATTTTAAGTTTTAAGCTTCTCAATGCTGAGTCAAGGATTAGCCTTGAGAATGCTGGTAGTGAAAAGAATCTAGAGCTGAGCTGTGCTGTGTAGTATAGTAGCACTGTGCTCTGAGTATAGTAGCCATTTGTCAAATGTAGCTATTTAAATTTAAATTAATTCAAATTAAATAAAATTTAAATTTAAATACCTTAGTCACTCAACAAGCTACACTTTAAGTGCTCAATATCCTTCTGTGGCTAGTGGCTACCATATTGGACAGTGCAGGTATGGAACATGTCCATCATCACATAAAGTTCTCCTATACAGTGCTGATTCTAGAAAGGGGCCATTATTCTGTCATAAAGCTATTTCTGATAAAGAGGTAAATTGAGACCATTCATATAAGTATATAAATGAAAATAACCAGAGAGATGAGATAACTACCCAAGAGAGGGGAAAAATTAAATGGGAGCTCAGGGAGCTCAATGGTTTGTCAGATTTATTTATGAATGACTCTAATTCATGAAAACTATTTATTGAAAAATATATTACTGAGTCTTTGTACTGATTCACAGGGTCCCTTTCCTTTAATTCTTACTGGAATTTTACTTTGACCTTGATATAATATGCATCTTTTCAGGATTTAGTTGTTGTTATTTCATTTCCCCCCCACATGTGCTCTTTGTCATTAAGGTAACAATTTTAAAACAGTCAATCCTTACTACCCTTATGCTATTGACACACAAAATTAAAACACCAAAATTATTTCAAGATAAATGGTATAATCTAATTAGGAGAAATGAAAATTACCTTAGCTTCTCTAAGTTTCATTTTCTCAGTATCCAACTTTCTCTTAATTTGGTCAATTGCATGCTGTACCTTAGTGATCTGGATTATAAGGCACTTCTGTGTGAGGTATATTAAGATATCTTTATTAAGGACAACATCTATGCATTTTTATTTTTAATTGCCTTGCTAACATAAATTACAATGTGATAACAAATACCGAAAGAGCAAATCATGAAAATACCTATTCCATAAAATAAACTTATTGCTTTGGAGTAAATTACTATTAATCTGTCGATTTCTTCAGTTTTAGGGACTTCTTTTTCTTTTGTTCTACTACCATCATTCATGTGTTATAAAAATAAATAGGTATTTGTAAAGGTTACCATTAAATTAGTACCACAAATGGCAATAACTATTAGTATAAAAGAAATATGCTGGGTTTAAGATATTAGCAAGGCTTTAGAGATTGGCATAATGCTTCATTATCTGAGTGAGATTAAAAAGAATTTAAAATATTTAATAATAAAATAGTATATTTTAGGTAAGAAAATATATTTAATACAAGAAAAACTATTAATATAAGAAGACTTTTGGGTTACTTTTGTTCAAAAAGTTTATGAGGTATAATGGTCAACAAAGAAATTATTTAAAATTTTAAGCTGCCTTTGTGAAAAAAAGATCCTATATTTAACTTGATAAAATAGTAAGACAAAAAGTATCAGCTATGTTAAAGAAAAGTGTCAGCTAATATGGACAAAACATTGCTTGAGACTCCTTGGATTTTATATTTTAAATTTATCTAAAACAGTATACTTTTACTCATAGAAAGAAAGAGCACATTGGTGGTTGCCAGAGGTGGGGTATGGGGGAAACAGGTGGTTGCTAAGAGAGTAGATCTTAAAAGCTCTCATTACAGGAAAAAAAATTATAACTGTGAGGTGGTAGCTGTTAATTAGACTTATTGTGGTAATCATTTCACAGTATATACATATACCAAATCATTGTGTTGAACACCTTAAATCAATACAATGTTATATGTCAATTATATCTCAATAAAACTGGGAAAATATAAATGAGGAAACTTAATATTTCATCATGTCTAACTCTATACTCTTAATCATGATTAACATACTATAAAAACATTTTTGGATAAGTTGGATCAGGCAACAAAAATTAAACAGGTAAATGGCCTCTGGAATTTGTTGTTTAACTATATGGTGGAATTACTCAATTAAGAAATAAACTTCAGGTCTCTAATTTTTCAATATTCAAGACCATGTTAAGAAAAAATAGACAAAATTTAATATAATTTAATAACTTCTTTAGAAATTCAATAATTTTAGATTCCATGAATGTTATTAATCTCTGCACACATAAAAAAAAGGCATGTAGTAAATACTGTTTGTCCCTCACTGTATTTCATCATGTGTTCATCTCTTTCCCACAGAATCAGAGAAAGTGACCTATCCTCAGGTACAGAGTTGTTCGTAATTGGTCTAAGTCAACACGTCGCATTTCCTGGTATGTTATTATCAGTCCACGGTAGGCCTGGTTGAACCTCCACCAAGCAAAAGGGAAAGTTTATATATTCCATGTGTCTGGAAGAGGTTCTTTCTTGGTTTGGAGGCATATATCCCTACTTGCCATTGGCAACTCGATTGCTACCAGGAGGGAAAGAAGTTTTATAACAAACCAACAGTAGAAAATAATGAGGAAATACCAGGAGCACTTAGGCCCTTAAAGACATCATTAAGCTGCTTATTTTATCTCCTCAGCACCCGTTACATGAGATCATGAGTTTTCTTATTGTTTAAGCCAGGTTAAGTCAAGGTTTGTTTTACCTGTAGCCCAAAGCATCCTAAATATAATAATACTAACAATTATAAAGCAAATATTTTGAACAGAACTTCTCTACTAGAATGTGAGCACATTTAGTAGCACCTTAGACTCTGTGATGTTTGCCATATTCCTTGGTCTCATCTTGACCTGCCTAGCTTCAAGTTGCACGAGCAATTTTTTATAGTAGAGTTCCAAATCTTCTTGAAGTTTTGTTAAAATCTCCTCCAATGATGCTGTAACTTTCTTTGTTTCAAAGTATTTTTTCTTCCAACTATCACAGGCTATAAAAAAAAAAGTAAAGGCTATAGTTTGAGTCTGACTAAAGGATTAAACTTTTAAACTTGGAAAGGACCCTAGAGTTAATTTAAACTCTTCCACTTAAACTCATCCACTTCTCCTCCCTTATATGCTGAGAAAATTAGAGCTAAGAACGAAATGTTCATTAAATAATAAAAGTACTTATCTACAAATATAGTAAAATAGTGATAAATCCAAAAACTACAACCAAGTTTTTCTTTAAGTTTATAATTATTTCTGGAATATCTTTATTAAAAATAATATGTATAGCAAAATGCACATATTTTTAATTTTGATTACTTTTATTTATAATTATAACTATGAAAAACAGAGGTATAACATACTTTTTCAGATTTTTTCCTTGTTTTTCCAGCCCCCAAAATGAGTGGTATTTTGTGATATCAGCTAATTCTGATTCATCTTTTATCAAAATTATTCCAATTATATTCCCAGAACTGTGTGGGACAGAATTTCTCAAACGTGAGACCCTAAATTAGAAACTAAACACTGCCAGTTAGGGGATCATTTGGCACCAAAGAGATTCTAGGTACAAAGTTAACAGCAGCACAAACTACATGCTAAGATACCAGATTATGTTTGTGTTTATATTTTTAGATTATCAAAGAAATGTAAACCCCATATTAAAAAATTCTATATGGTTTTGATTAGATTAAAATTATACACTATATGGAACTTAATTTAAAATTTTAACTGTTGCCCTATATCCAATCCTCATGCCTTTCTTTCTAACTGGTCTCTCTGCTTCTGTCCTTGTCACTCTATAGGCTAGTTCATATAGCAGTTTTTCTAATTTTTCTAAAATATTTTTAATATCATGTAAATCACTAGCTTAAAATCCTCCAATGGATTCTCACCTTACTTAGAATAAAATCCAAACTCCTTGAATTGACCCATCTGTTCCTTGCTGAACTTTTGATGTTATCTCCCTCTACATTCCTTCTTATTTATCATGCTCCAGTCACTGGCCTTATTTCAGGTCTTAAGACTGAAAGCTCATTCCTATCTCCAGACCTTGACATTTAATGTTCCTTCTGTTCCTACTCTTTTCCCCCTATCTCTTTACATACTTGCCTCCTTAATAATTAAATCTTAATGATATCTCCACAGAAATGCTGCTCTTGGAAACCCTAGCTAAAGCATTTCTCCTGCCTCATCACTCTTTAGCACACTCTTTTCAATTGACTTCTCAGTTCTGTTCAGCAGCTGATATTGTCTTATTTATTGCTTGCCCCCCACTCCTTTAGAAGCAAGCTCCTTAAGGGAAGGGCCATGCATATTTGTCTTATTTACTGCTGTATCCTCAGCATTGAAAACAATGCTAGGAATTGAAGCACATAGTAGGCTCAATAAATATTTGATGGCTGATACATGCCTTAAACTTGAAACATTCCTGTTGAAATACAAAGTGATGAATCATTCTCATTTTATAAACAGAAAGAGTAAGGCACAAAGAGGAGAAATAACTTGCCTATGTAAAAGATTGATCTGGGGGATTTCTAGTCAATTGCTTGAGTCTGTCTAATAAAATTTCTCAGTTAAAGTACAAGGCTGAATCATTGCCATCGCTTCCAGGATAATGTTTTAATATTAGGAGATAGAACCTTCAGAAATATCTCCTGACATTGCCTATAACATTCAGTCAATTCCAGTACTGAAGCAATAATTCTGCTGTAAATTGACAATCCTAAAACCAGTTAATCCCGTACTGTATAACCGTTACCCTCACAATTCTCAAGTACAACACAAAATGCAAGACTCTAAAACCATTTAACATCTCTCAAACCATTATCCTGGCTCATTTTTCCATTTCCACCGGTCCTAACAACAATATTTCTATTTCTATTGCAAGAAAACTACCTACTTCTCCTACCTAACTGCCCATTCATTCATTCATTCATTCATTCATTCATTCATTCATTCTAGCAAAGCAGACAGACACACATATCAAAAAATTAAGCACCTTGAAGAGACTAAGGAAATCAAGGATTCTAGAATGATATTTAAGCTGAGATTGAATGATTAATAAGAAATAGCCAGGTGAAGTAGGAAGAAGGGGATAGAAGGAGAAGGGAGGAGAAGCAGATGTAGATAGCAGAGGGAAAAACATGCCTGAATGCTTGCATCCAATAGGAGGCACACTTCAGATTCTAGCACATCTTTTTCTGGAAGCCTTTCTTATCTCTTCCATCTAATTTAGGTGCTCATCCTCTGTATTCCTTTACCATAGTATTCACTGGGTTGTATCATTACTGCTTAACTTCATTATCATTTCCCCATTGGACTGTAAGCTCTTTGAGGGTAGGGACAAAATTGTGCCTGCCTATTAGTATCTCCTCAGGCCCTATAACAGTAGCTAAATTCAGTAGTCACTTAATACTTATTTAGTAAGTAGATAGAAGAATTAATAAATAAATAAATGTCACCTATGAAAAATATTTGAATTTTAATTAAAAAACAGCCTACATAAAGCATGTTGTATTTACTATATAAAAGAAGTTGAACAATGATTTCATGTTTTCTATATTATTTTATATCAAGTGTCCATTTAAACCATAACAGTAAAAAAGTATTAAAAAGCATAAATTCTATAAAACTTGAGTTTTTTTACAGTGATAAAAGATATGTAATAAACTTTACCATGATATTGCTGCAATGTTAGTTCTTCTCTTATTCTTTCCAGATGTCTTCTTTCTTCCTTTACTTGTTTTAATTGTTTGATAATCTTCTGTTCTAAAATATAACCCATACTCATCAATGTCTAAAAGATAAAAGATGATTCATTTCCTAAAATATAGTGTGTAAAACTTAAAAGTGCTTAAAACAGCAAGAATAAAATTTACCCCAAATTCTGTTTTTCTTCCTGCAATATAGTATTGCCCCTATGGAAAACAACAAGGAGTCCACTCACTTTGTAAGAGTGATACATAAGGGAATTTACATATATGTGAATACAGTATGCCCTATCTGCAATTACATATGTGTAAACTAGGTAAAGCTCAAGTAGTTATGTGTCTTGGTTTAATTCTTTTGGTAAATTTATCTTGGGCCCAAAGTTGTTATACTTAAATCTTACATGAAAAGTGTAAATTTTAGAGTATGTTTTTAAAAGCAAATATCATATTAGTGATTAAATATATGCACTAATTGACATAACATTTATATACTTTAAAATAATGTAACTTTTTTGTGGTAAAATATACATAATAAAATTAGCATTTTAACCATTTTTAGTGTACAGTTCAATGACATTAAATACATTTCAGTGTTATGCAGCTATCACCACCATCCCTCTCTGGAACTTTTTTTTAACTTCCTAAACTGAAACTCGTTACTCATTATACAATAATTCCCCATTAACATCATTTAACTTTATCTCATACTTACTCTCAATTTGCAATAAAGAGATTTCAGTTATTCCTGGAAAAACAGCAGACTGACTAGGACGTGGAAGAAAATCAGTAAGATCTGGGAAGATGATGTACTCTTTTCCACCTATCTGAAAGAAAACATGAAAATCAGTAAGATTTGATAGAGTGACATTTATTTTCCTCCCATCTGTAAGCATTTGATAATGTTTAACAGCAGTGCATTTTTTCACTTACATGGTGGTTTTTTTATTTATATGTACTTATAGGCTTTTTGTTGAACTCCAGTTTCTCTGTTCCACTATTATATGGACATTACACACAGTAGCTGCAAATGTAAAATTTCAAAAAAAAAGAATCCAAATTTTTTCTAAACATGATTTCCTTCCAAGATTTCTGATCTTAGTTACTTCTTTATCATATACATTTTTCTAAGATGGCTATTGATGTTTTTTTCATCTTGAGTCAATTTTGATCATTTATATTTGCTTAGAAAATTGTATACTCTATCTCATTTTCAAATTTTAGCATATATTTTGTTTTCATATATTTTCTCTTCTGTACTTGCATTTATATCACCTTTATCTTTCCTGATTTTTGTGTTTTTGCCCATTTTTTATAAACTACTTCAAGCCTTACCAATGTTGATGTTTCTCCCACTGCCACTTTATAGATCTTGAATTGTTTCAATCCTGCTAGGTTTTTTGTTTTTTTTATTTCTGTACTTATTCGTTTCTACTTTATCTTTATTAAGCCCTTACTACTACTTTGTTTTATTATTCTTTTTCAGGTTTATGTTATTTTCTTTTCTTAACTTATAAAGTCAGATTCTCACAGGATAATGGCAACTGCCTAAATTAGAATCTCTCCACGCATCCTCCCAACTACTCTAAAAAGGAAGCAAATAAAATCAACCATAATTTATGTCTACAGCATAAATAGGGCACAGAATCCTTTAATTTATACATGCTTTCATTTACATGTAAGTGGGGAAAGAAACACCCTAGACTAGTGTAGTGTGTTCAAGAGTGACAACTGAGCAGCCAGATGTGATTATGCATTAGAGAGAACTATGTGAACCCTGAGAAAGAAGATACCTGAGAAAGAAGAAACCCTAGTGGCTAACTGGACTCAAAGTCTAAAAAACGGAGCCTAGAGGCCATTTCTGAACAGGGGACTCTCACACAAACTGCACTTCATGGAGAAGCCTGCACTGTGTTTCTACCTTCTGAGCCAGCCCCTATAAAGGAGTTCCTAGAATCCTATTTCAACCAATAGAATTGAGGCTCTCCTCATCCATTTGGAACTGCTGGGCTATATCCCCATCAATATCACTGATCAATCAGAGCAGATCCATTCTCACAAATCAGGAAAGTGCCTTTTGAACCAAACTGTGAGAATTTGGAGTCCTCATTTGCATAAGAACAGACCAATTAGGGACCAGGGGCAGGGACTTTTGCCTATATAAGCCAGCTCTTGTAGGCTCTGGGAGTGCACTTTGCCAAGACTGAAGATTGTGTTTCTCTGACTGAGCTTAAACACTGGATGTCACCAGAGCACAGCAAAACAGACCAACACAGGGCAGAGCAGACTGGCAGAGCAGCAAGTGCAAAGCAGTTGGAGCAGAGTAGATGGAGCTGAGCAGCAGAGTGCAAAGCAGACCAGCAAGGAAGAGAGCAGAGCAGAGCTAACCAGCAAGGAGCACAGCAAAGCTGTCCATGTGGAGAGAAGCCTGGCCCCAGGGCTGCTTCATAGCCCTGATACATCACAATTGAGTTGTTTTGCTATGAATAAAGTTTCCTTCTTACCACAGCCCAAATTGGAGATTCCTGACAATCAGTTGACAAGTATGAACAGATAACACAGTAAACATCAACCATAGTTTTGTTTGGAATAAAAGGCCTCTCCCATGCAGTGCAGAAGTAAGAACAAGATCTGGTAAATCAGAGCACTTTCTATGAGGAATACAGAAAAAAGGGGTTTGTAGAATGTAGGGGCCAGAGGTGGGAATCATGGGAAGACATAGCTTCTGAGAGGAAAATGCTTTGAAAATGAGAGGTATTCCTTTGGGCCTAGGTGGTAAGAGAAAAGTGGCCAAGATAAGAGCTCTGTACAAATTAAATTAGTAGAAACCCCCCCCCAAAGAAAACAGACCCGTTCCCCCAACTGCATTTTGCTATATCAACAGAAGAGGGCACTCCTAATCTAAGCAGGAAAGCCACCAAAATACCACTCTGTTCCTCCATAACACCTGTTATTACTGATAAAGAAAAATCCAATACAAGTAAACATGAACACCATCTACAAAACAGTCTAGTATCCACACAGTTAGTTCTTAAAAACCCTCAAAATTGAGAACTAAACCAAAACAAAATAAAACAGGTAGCCATAAAGCAGAGAAAGACACTGAAGAAAACTGAACAAGATACAAATAAATGGAAGCATAACCATGCTCATGGATAGGAAGAATTAACAGTATTAAAATGTCCATACTACCCAAAGCAATCTATATATTCAATGCAATTTCTATCAAAATACAGTGGCCTTTTTCACAGAACTAGAACTAATCCAAAAATTTTAATGGAATCACAAAGGACCCAAACAGCTACAGCTATCTTGAGGGGGGAAAAACAAAGTCTGAGGTATCATGCTACATGATATCACACTATATACTACAAGCCTATAGAATCAAAACAGCATGGTACTGGCATAAAGACAGACATACAGATCAATGGACATACTTGAATAGTTAAAAGCATGAGATGATGGTGGCTCAGTCTAACATGTTAGCAGTAGAGGTGATGAGAAGTGCTCAGATTTGTATAATTTAGGCTTTGTGGGCCACACTATAAGAAGTCAATCTATTAGAACTGAAGTTTGAGAAAGGAGTGAAGTATGACTCCAAGGTGCTGGCCTCAGATACGAAAAGGATGGATTAGTCATCACCTAATATGGGGAAAGGGATGGGTAGTAGAAGTTTTGAGGATGGGGCAAATATCTATAGGTCAATTTCATACATGTCTATTGGCCATCCAAGAATGGAGATGTAAGTAGGCAAATTGAAAATATGAATCTGGAGTTTAGGAAGGAGGACTTGGATGGGGACTTAATTTGGGAATCCTTAACATAAAGTTGGTATTTAAAGCTATTAGATTGGATGAGATTACCAAGGAATGAGTGCAGATAGAGAAGAGAACAAAGAGCTGACCCCTGAAATTCTCCTATATTAAGAGGTCAAGAAGAAGACGACCCAGCAAAAAAGACTAGGAATGAATAACAAAAAAGGTAGGAGGAAAACCAAATTGTGGATGTTAAAAGCCAAATGAAGGAATTATTTCAAGGAAGAGAGTGATCAATAGTATTAACCATTGTGCACAGACAGATCAAGTATGTGTGGGATAGGAATTAAGCAATACATTTAATAATGTAGAGGTCAATTTAAAAACAGCCATTTTGGTAAAGTATTGGAGTAAAAGCTTGGAGTTGTTTTAAAGACAAAATGGGGCTAAGCTATGAAATAGATGTTAGAACAGTGGAAGAGTGAATGAGTGAGTGGAAGATAGTCTGATTGCCTACTAGCAAAAGGTTCCACTGGAGATTCAGTCATGAATTTAAAATGAGATATAGTCCTTATGCTGGTATAGTTTTCTCCAGCCATGCTCTGCTATAGGTATAAGTATAGAATTGGATTCACCAGGGGTTTTGTTTTGCCAAGGAGTACAACGAATAGAGAGAGAAGCAAGGAGTCAAAAGCATGTGCAAGAGAGTGACCAAGACTGCCTTACAGTATTTAAGCCAGCTATGGAGGGCATCACAGGTGAGGAATGAAAACAAACAAACAAAACCACAGCTGACTGGAGGTCCCAGTACAATCAGGGTACTTGGGGGAAGTGAGCTAGAGATACAAGCACTCTAATCAGACAATGGAATACATAGAGTTGAGTTCAACCTGAAGTTAATATCTAATACTTTATGCAACCCATATTTCGTTTCATCAAAATTTTTCAAAGGCACTGGCCTGTGTGGCTTATTTGGTTGAGCATCATCCGTGCACCCAAAGGTCCCCAGTTTGATTCCCAGTCAGGGCACAGGCCTGGGTTTCTGGCTCGAGTAGAGGCTGTGCAGGAGGCAGCCACAGATCAATGTTTCTTTCCTTCATCAATGTTTTTCTCTCTCTCTCTCCCTATCCTTTCTCTCTCTCTAAAATCAATAAAACCATATTTTAAAAACTTTTCAAAGATAATCAGATTTTTCCTATATTTTAGTATAAAAATATTATCTTACCTCTGATGAAGAAGGTCGACTTGGATTGAGGGACAAATTCACCAATGTCTGAATGGAGTAAGTATCAGTTGGAATTTGGTGGATTTTTTTATTCTTCTTCATTTAAGTAGTATAAAGGTTATAACAGATTTTTGACTTGTTTAAGATAGTATTCCACTCATTTATGGTCTCTCATTTATTCAGAAAAGTGAAAAAACACACACAAAAAACTTTAAAATAGAGTCAAAATGACAACTTAGGTATGTATAAAATCTTATTATAATTCAAATAGATATGTTACTAATAAATAGGCTAATAATTACAATGAAATGTATATACATCCTATACAACTAAGTAAAGTAGTAAAATATACTAGACTTGTGACCAGGATACATTTTAAACAATTCATTTTCTCTTGGTGAAAAATTAAAATATATATAGTATTTTCTATAAAGTAAAAATACATTTTTAAGTGAGAAGACTCAGATACATGTATGGCAACTTCCTTATTAGATAAGAATTAGTGATAATAATCTATAATAATTACAGTACAGTAACTGGTACACAGATTGGGAAGTCAGAATCTTTAGCTCCTATGGATGCATTTAAAAACTTGATATTTTAATTCAGAACAAATTTTTAATTAAACAAACTCAAGACAGATCAATCAAGACCTGCTTTACTATTGTCCTAAGATAAACTGCCCCACTATACTATGGAAAAGCAAAGAAGTCATGTTTTGAACTATAACTCTTTTTACCATTTCTTATTCTATCAATACTGAAGACCAAATCCTGGCTGGCCAGAGACAAATAAAATGGCCTGGCATGAAAAGATGAGCCCTTAGGAATTAAAACTGGGAGAACTCAAGAGTCAAGTATGTAGTTAGTAGATATTAAAGCAAAAACAAATAAAGAAAGAGAAGTCATGAAGTAGTATCATAGCCACGGGGTATGCCCACGTTATGAGAAAGCTACAATTATTTGTAAACAAAGGTAGAAAAAGAGATAAAGAATAGGCAGAATGACTAACTGGTGAGAAGGTAACTGGGGAGATACATAGGTAATTCATGTTTATAGCTAAGCACTAGAAAGAAGAGTCAAAATTTTTCCTGTTGAGATCTCTAGCCTTGCATCTATTCCCAGTGTGGTTATCAGTGAAGCAGTTCTTGTTTTGTGGATTTCCATATGGTAACTGTCTCCACTACTGCTCTATGTTGATCTTTACAATAATCTCTTCACTGCTTGAGGTAACTTAAGTCTTTACTATCAAAACCAACAGAGGCTTCATTAGCCTCTTTAGGCATGCTTAGAATTTGTAGGTGATACTAATCAAATCACATTTCACTGACTAACTCCTAACACATAACCTTTGGTATTTTCAAACTCCTTACCTATTATAAATTAGGTAATTAACAAAACAATGGCAATTCAAACAAAAAAAGAGTGATAGCTTGATAGCCAAATATAAAGGGACTATATAGAGTTCTAGTCTAATCTCTCATTTACTGTATAATTTTGCTTTATAACTACTCCCCTGCCAGGAATGAAATGTTGGCTTTATCTTTCATACTAGATCCCATGAACTGATATTGGCATATTGACTGCATAAAAGTGAGTTACTGAAAAGGGCCCCAAGGCCACATCAGGCCTCATTAGGAGTTACTAAAATAGATTATCATCTCCAACTTTGGGTTTGGGAGGAGTAACAGTTGGTAGATACATCACCTATCTGCCTTCTCTGATCTACTCTCTACTTTAAAGATAATTAGGTATCATGCTTTCTCTGCACTTTTCCAATATGATTTTGGGAGGCAGTAGCAGAGCTGAAAATCAAGCTTAAGAATTTCTTTGTTCTTTATTTTTTTACTTTTTTAATTGAATTTATTTGGGTCACATTGGTTAATAAAATTATATATGTTTCAGGTGTACAATTCTATAATACACCATCTGTATATTGTATTGTGTGTTCACCACCCCAAGTTGTCTCCTTCCATCACCATTTTTCCCCCTCTACGTTCTTCTACAGCCTCCCCCCTCCCCCCCAATTTCCCTCTGGTAATCACCATACCATTATCTGTGTCTATGAGTTTTGTTTTGCTTTGTTGTTTTTTTGCTTAATTCCTTCACTTTTTTCACCAAGCCCCCAAACCCCCCTCCCATCTGACAACTGTCAGTCTGTTTTTCATGAATTTGTTTTATTTTGTTTGTTCATTAGATTCCACATATGTGTGAAATCATATACTTGTCTTTCTCTGACTGGCTTATTGCTCTTAGCATAATGCTCTCCAGTTCCATCCACGCTGTCACAAAGGGTAAGATTCCCTTCGTTTTTTAGTCAAGTAGTATTCCATTGTGTAAATGTACCACAGCTTTTTTATCCATTCATCTACTGATAGACACTTGAGCTGCTTCCAAATTTTTGCTATTGTAAAAAACACTTCAATGAACACAGGGGTGCATATATTCTTTCCAATTAGTGTTTCGGGTTTCTTCAGATATATTCCCAGAAGTGAAATTGCTGGATCATAAGGCAGTTCCATTTTTAATTTGTTGAGGTAACTCTATACTGCTTTCCACAGTGGCTGCACAAATCTGCATTACCACCGACAGTGTGTGGGGGTTCCCTTTTCTCCACATCCTGCCAACACTTGTTTTCTGATTATTTATTTTTTAAATATAACTTTATTGATTTCAGAGAGAGGAAGGGAGAGGTGAGAGAGAGATAGAAATATCAATGATGAGAGAGTCACTGATCGGCTGCCTCCTCCACACCCCCGACTAGGGATCGAGCCTGCAACCCAGGCATGTGACCTGAATCCTAGGTTGATGCTCAATTGCTGAGCCATGCCCGGCCGGGCTGTTTGCTAATTTGATAGCCTTTCTGACAGGTGTGAGGTGATATCTCATTGTGGTTTTAATTTGCATTTCTCTGGTGATTAATGAAATTGAGTATCTTTTCATGTCTATCCACCATCTGTATGTTCTCTTTGGAAAAGTGTCTATTTAGGTCCTTTGCCCATTTTTTAATTGGATTGCTTGGTTTTTCAGTGGTGAGTTTTATAATTTCTGTATAAGTTTTGGCTATTAACCCCTTATCACATGTATCATTGTCAAATATGTCCTCCCATTCAGTAAGTTGTCTTTTTGTTTTGTTGATGGTTTCCTTTGCTGTGCAAAACCTTTTTAGTTTTATGTAGTCCCTTTTGTTACTTTTTTCTTTTGTTCCCCTTGCCCGAGGAGATATATCAGAAAAAATATTGCTACAAGCAATATCCCTTATTTTACTGCCTATGTTTTCTTCTAGGATTTTTATGGTTTCAACTCTTAAGTCTTTTTTTAAAAAATATATCGTTACTGATTTCAGAGAGAGGAAAAGAGAGGGAGAGAGAAACTAGGGATCAGCCCAAAACCCAGGCATGCGCCCTGACCAGGAATCAAACCACGATTGCCTGGATCCTAGGTTGATGCTCAACTGCTGAGCCATGCTTGGCCGGGCAACATTTAAGTCTTTAATCTATTTTTTTATTCTTGTATATGGTGTAAGAAGGTGGTCTAGTTTCATCTTTTTGCACGTATCTGTCAATTTTTCCAACACCATTTTTGTATAGAATATGTTTACCCCATTATATGTTTTTGTCAAATATTGACTGTAGAAGTGTGGGTTTATTTCTGGGCTCTCTAATTCTGTTCCACTGATCTATATGTCTGTTTTCCTGCCAGTACTATGCTGTTTTTATTACTATGGCCTTATAGTATAGTTTGATATCAGGTAATGTGATTCCTCTACTTTGTCCTTTTTTCATTGCCATGGTTATTTGGGGTCTTTTGTAGTTCCATATAAATTTTATGAACATTTGTTCTAGTTCTGGGAAGTATGCTATTGATATCTTGATAGGAATTGTGTTTAATCTATAGATTGCTTTGGGTAGTATGGACATTTAAGATGTTAATTCTTCCTGTCCATGAACATGGTATATATTTCCACTTATTTGTATCTTCTTCCTTTCTTTTCTTCAGTGTCTTGTCATTTTCTGAGTACAGGTCTTTCACACACTTGGTTAAATTTATTCCTAGGTATTTTTTTTAATGCAGTTGTAAATGGGATTATTTTCTAAAGTTTCATTATTGGTGTATAAAAATGAAACTGATTTCTGGATGTTTATTTTGTATTTTATATTTACTGAATTCATTTTTCAGTTCTAGTAGTTTTTTGGTGGAATCTTTAGGGAAGCTTAAGAATTTCTGATACTCTGTTCATTGCTTAGAAATAAGGATTCTGGTGATTTTTATTTCCTGTCTGATTGGATTAGAGAGTATAGGGAGAGATACTCAATGGACTTCAGAATATCCTAAATAAATACTAAAATTAGAAACCTGAAATGAGCTACATTTAAACATACCAATATAGTAGAATCTCACACAAAGTAATTAAACGATTGAGAAGTAGAGAAGCAGGTTTCTTGTTCTTTATAATCTGTAAGACCATTCATGTTACAGTCTTTGAGTAAAGATATTTATTTTTAATCTTCCAAATCTGTAAAGTATGAATGAAGTTAGTCAACAAGCCACCAAAAGTGAAATAATTTAAAATGCTCCTGGGGAAGAGGGAGAAGTGACATTTATTGAGACACTTGTGATCTTCTTAACGTATATAATTTCATTTCATTCCACAAACAACTCTGGGAAGTTTTATTACTTCATTTTGAAATGAGGAAACAGAATCTCAGCATTTAAGTGGCTTTGGGGGGTAGGGGTCCAAGGGTAGATAGAGCCTAAACCCAAAGCCTGGTTTATATATATAATCCCTGTCATTGCATCCATTGTATGAATTAAGTACAATGCTGAAGTACACTGCACATTTTGTAAAATTATTTAAACTGTTCAGTAAATAAGTTAGGTTTTGTTGACATAGATAAAATTATAACGGCATTTTTCACTACACAAAACAAATGGAAATGCATTAATAATGGAATTATTTATATTCACAGAAATCATTAGTATATTTGTTGATGGGCTATCCCAACAGAATAGGAAACATTTGTCCTAAATGTTGTGATGTAACACATACTTTCCCATGGTTGAAACAGCCTGTTTTGCTTGACTAGATCCTACTATCTCCTCAGAAAACCCCTTTGAAGATCAACATCAAGCAGCAGGTAATAAGTTATAATTTAAATACAAAAGAGCAAGCTTTCCAGAAACATACACACACACCCAAAATTTGTTTTTTTTTTGAATAAAATAAGCGTTAACCCCCCAAATGAAATAGATAACAAGAGGACATGGGTGAAATCTTCAACCAGCACCTTGACTTTTTCACAGCCTCTTCCAGAAAACCAGAGGGTGAGAGGCAACGGAAGCCAAGCCTTGAGAAGATCCCGTTTTCTCTGGGAAACCAGCGCCCCAGCTCCCAGTCACCCGAGTGCTCCCTTCGGCCGGTTACAGCGCCCTCCGCGCCCTCTTTGGACCTTAGGGCTCTGACGGTGGGGAAGCGGGCTGCGGTGGGTCGCCCACAGGACACGTCTCTACGGGGATGGGCCGCCAGTGAGAAACCCGGCACTTCTCCCCCCTCTGCCGCCAACTCCGTGAGGAAAACTGGAACCTTCCACTAGGTCTTTTATAAACTCCCTCAAGCGTTGGAGTATCGCTCACCGGTCTTCTCCGGAGTCCCCGTCAGGTCTCCGAGGCCAACGCCAAGCTCTTCCCTAACCTCTCCCAAATCGGGCCCCCGGGAGAGGGAGGGAAGAGATGCTGGGCGTCCAATCCGCGCCCAGGACCCG